CCAGTGAAAGTGGCCTGTGATTAGGTGCAGACGCTTCCCTGGAGAGGACAGCAGCATTCCTTAGTTAGAGATGCACCTATCTCTAAGTTAAGGACTTCTTTGATTTACAGATGCCTGGGGCAATCACCAGAGTAGATAACGACAGAATCACCAGAATACCCATCCCAGAAAGCCCTGCTTCCAAAATGGCCTGCCAAATGTCACCTGCACAACAGCACACGACTGTACTACTCGGAGCTGCAAGAGGGAGTATTTATAGTTGAACCTCAGAGCACTCACTTTCACCACTGAAGAGTAGGGGAAATACCTTTTCTTGTTATTGAGGCATTAGAAAATTCCTTAATCTTTTGATTATCATTTCTTAGGAACAAGTAAAGACACTGTTGAAAAGGGGCCTGCCAGTGATCTGAAATAAATGGGCATGCTTGAGTTTGTCCACTGCAGCACCCCCATTTGTGGACACCTCATCCCATTACGTTCCTGTCCTCATGCTGCCATGGGTCTCCCCCCGCCCTTTTCTGTTACTTTTTACCCCCAGATTTCAAGAAGTGGGATAATGAGAAAAGTAGATTTTTATTTTGAATTTCATTTACTTTGTTTGCCAATTACAGGTCAGAAAATCTTGGACAAGTAACTTTTGAGAACCCCCATTTCCTTCTTATAAATGGTAACTGTGGTGAAGATTTGGAGAAAATGCGTATCAGGCACAGGGCCTGATTTGCAATAGGGACTCCCCGAATGCTCTATCACCCTCCCCGATCTGGGATCTGGGCTAGTTCTCACCCAGGAATTCTCCAGTGTTCCCTGACCCATCCTTACAATTCTCACCCAAACTGTCTAGTCCTGGCATCATTATCAGGACTCTGCTGAAGGGATAACTTGATAATCTCCATCAAGCTGATCCCAGTGAAAGCTTTGTGGGTAGAAATGATTTTAATGGGCTTCTAATAAATTGGGCCCCTAAAAAAGCAAGCCTAAATGTGAAAGGACACCCTCTTACACTGGGAAAGTCAGGGTGGGAGCTATTTTTTTTGGTGACATTTATCTAGAGCTCATCAAATACAGAAGCTTTTTTCATTTGTAAGAGGTCAGACATCCAAGAAAAGGATGTCTCTCTGGATTTCTTCTTATCAAATACATAATTATGGAAGATCAAGAATGATGGACTATCTAAACCACTGATATTTTAATCTTTGAGGGACTGAAGTTTAAAACACATACAGAATCTTGGGACTAGGTCTCTGAAGAGGCCCTCACTTTGGCAAACAGTGGATCAGACCTGTAGGCTTTATCCATTCCCCAAACCAAACTGACAAAACAAGCCGACTCTCTGCAGAGTTAATTTGAACAGGCGTCGAGCAGGAAGAATAAAGTCCGCAGATCCAAATGGCTACTGCTTGACAATATTCCACCTGCTCAGTGCCACTGCCTTCCCAGCATTGGCTGGTAGAAGGTGCCCAATAGGTTGAATATCGAATGCAAATGACATGGAAAAAGTGACCACAACAAAGCAGAGCAGGTGGTATGAGAGGTGACCTAGGAAAACATTAATGTCAATTTTAATAGTGAAAATGAAAAATGTATATTTATGTTGATTTAAATTTACTGCAAACTTCTGATTTATCTTAGAGCCTGGATACCTGTCATTGTAACCTGTTTTGAACATAGGGGAGCTTCATGTCCAGAAAACAGAGTCTTCCAAACATAGCACGATTCGAGGGAAAGGAATAATCCCTATGGATGTGCTCACACAGTGATGAGCCATTGTAAAGTTTATTTGCTTTGACAGGAGGTCAGCAGGGACCCCATGCCTTCTTTCTGTGAGGACGGGACAGAGCCACTGTGAGTTAGGTGCAGGAGTCTTCCCTCCTTGCAGGCCTCAGATCCTGTCATCCCTCTCTGCCTCCACGAACAGAAGTTACTAGCCACTCCAGGATAATTCTGAAGCATGCCCTTCCACGACTGGTAGGACTGACTTGCTAGAGTGCATACTACAGAAGTTTCTAGTAGAAAACGGCCAGGATAAAGGCTTGTCCTTAGAAGGTCACAGATGACACAGACCAGGGAAAATGTGTAACTCGTACATGTGACTATTTGTGATTCCAAATGCAAACAATGACAACATGACTGTCAACATCTGAGCTTTTGCTTACATAATATCAAATGCCCTGAGTCTCACATTCACTAAAATGATCATCTGATGGTTAACAGAATTAAGAAGAAATATTGTAAAGTTTGGCATTTTTGTATGCTCAGCTACAAAGGCCATTAAGTATAATTCAGATAATTTATGAATACTCTAGGAATCTTAGTGGTAATCTGATCTAATACACTGGAACTGACTACATAAAAAAGTAAATAATAAGGTGGCTTCCCATCAATCAACACCAACCAAGGGCCAAATTCACATCTTTTTAAATCAGATAAGCTAAAATGAGTCTCAGATGGAACAGAAATAAGAGAGCCAATAAATTATAGAGCTCCCCCCACCCCTGAAAGTCCATGGCCCATCTGGAGGCAGAGTAAAATCGCTGAAAGGATAGACTGGGGTTCAAGTCCCTGTCCTACCTCTTACCAAATGAGAGTCCTTGGGCACAATCTATAACCTGTGTCAGAATCTCAGCTTCCTTTCCTATAAAATGGGGTAATAACACCGCCACTTTATCGACTCCCTGTGGAGAGAGAGAACACAGACCAAGCCCTCATGTGTGGCAGGTACTGCAGATGTGTTTGCTTCGTTAGGATCAAGGAATAGAAGAAGCAAAGTGAGAAAGGATAACCGAGTATCCTGAAGATGCCTCAGGGATTAGACTCAGAATCTTTTCTGTGGGGAAGGAAAAGTAAGGTCTTTAATTCACCGAATATTCACAAGGCAGTTAAGTGTTCATCAAACACAACTGTTTGCTTTACTGTGCAAACTGCTTCAATCCAAAACGCCAGAAAAGATGTCTTGGGAAGCAGGTCCTCCTGCACTACATATATGTGCCCTGGGAGCTAGGGAGGGTCAGGGTCAAGAGCACCGATCATGGGTCAGACAGCCGGACATTGGTCCCCTCAAGACCACTGAGAGCTTTAGCGAGTCATTCACTTTTCTCAACCACACAATTGGGATGAGAATATCCAGGGCTGCTTGTCTGACTTCAAAATATATAAGATGCGATTTGGTTTTTGGTTGGTGTTGATCCACCAGAAGCTACCTTCTCTCTTTCTCTTTTTTTTAAGAAACCACTTCCGGACCTCCCCGGTGGGGTGGTGCGGCGGGTTGAACACAGCACTGTGAAGCTGTCTGCAGCCTCTGCAGCACCAGTTCGATACCCGGCCAGCCAGGGAGATTCCCACATGGCGTGGGCAGACCTCTCCTGCCGCGCCCACTGCTCCCCTCAGCAGTGCTTTTGGTCTGTCTACCTGTTCTGCTCCCTGCTCTGCCTCTGGTGAGTCCTCTCACCCTCCTGTGCCTCTGGCCTGTACTCCAGCTGTTGTATAAATAAAAAATAGATCTTTAAAAAAAAAAAAAAAGAAAAGAAACCACTTCCAATGCATTGGTGGCACAGGGTAGCCCAAAGGATTAAGGTAAAACCAGTTAGGCAATGATCTTAGCCCAGTGCCTGGCACACAGGAGTAAGTATGTAGTTCCTGAAAATCATCCTGATATCATCATCCCCTTTCTCGACCAAGGAGCCTGAGATTAAACAGAATGAATGGCAGAGAGGGAGCTAGACCTCTGAGACAGTCCTCTATCAAAGCATAGGTTTCATGGTGATTCGGCCAAAACTTTGGTCTGACAGGTAGGATGACTTGTTAGAGGTCCCAAAGCACGTCAGGAATGCAGCAGCATCTGGCCCGTTTGCTCAGCAGTTGTTAATCCACACACTGCATGTGCAAACCTGCTCACTGCACAGAACTAGCTCATCAAACCATGAAGGAAATCCAACCACCGGGAGACTAAGGAGAGATTCTGGACTTCTTGTGATTCTCCTTGGTCATCGTGCCTCTTGGTCAAGTTAATGTTGGGAGCTGACTGTCATCTGCACTGTCCTATTGGTTCCTTTACAATTATTCGGGAAGAAAACACAAACTCAAATCTTAAATGCAAGGATTCCCCCCCCCCACCCCGGTAATGAATTCCTTTGCTTTCTACTAAATTTGAGAAGTTGGTTTAAGCCAAAGTTGGCTGTGAGCTCGCCATCACCTACCTACTGAGACTTCAACTCATTCATAATCTACATCAGAGTCTTTGCAAAGACTGTGCTCAGCCTCGAGTCCAGTGTTGACCAGAGGGGAGCGAGGGAGAACAGCATGTGTACAAAGCCAGACAGGAGGGAACAGCTGTGTCAAGGTTGATGGAGCTGCTCCCTGGGTGAGTTCAAGACAGAGCAGCTGCTGTCTGCAAGGGAAGAGGGCAGCCTTCATAAAGGAGGTGGCTCTTACACAGCCCTCATCCATTGCCCTCCAATGGCCATGCCAGTGGGGATGAATTCTTGCTTTCTAGTATTAGGCAACATCTGAGCATACCTGAAAGAGCAAGGGAGTGTGAAGCATGGCAGATTTCATAACAGGCTAATCTGAAAGCCCCAGGACCCTCTTCCATCATTGCAGAGGTAGGATTAGTAGGGAGGGGAGACAGAGCACAGCTGTCCTCTGCTCAGCTTCAGCACCACAGGAAAGATGCACATTAGTCCACAATGTGTAGTAGTGGTTGAGCGTTTTGCCTGAGTTAAAGGATTTTGCTTAACTGCATATTTTGACTTTTTGCCACCTAAATTCTTGTTGGCTTCTCTTTTGTCCAGAATCTGCACGTTATCAACCCCTTTCTCCAGTGGTTTAGGAAAGTTCTCTGTGCCCTCTAAGTATGAATTAAATATGAATTTAAATATGGGCTTTGGTCTTGAAGGCAGCAGGCTGCACTTACAGAGCAGGCAGATGAAAACACAGCATCGTTTTAATTATGGTGTTGATCATTGAAAGAATTAGGTGCCAGGAATTAAGTGTTTTGAGCTTACCTGCATCTCGGTCCCTGATACAGTAGTCTGGAGAATTCTCAAAATACACAAGGTCATTTTTTGTAGGTTTCTTAAACCTCTTGTTAGCCACAGTGAAGCCAGTGCCATCCTGGTTCATGACGACCTGGATGGCCCCGTTGTACTTCCTCCAGAGATAATCGCCTGTTTTTCTGAAGTCGGCCATGGCCAGCCAGCACGTCCTCAGAGTGCAGGAGCCGCTCACGCCGTGACACTTGCACTCTTGTTTCAAGAACCGCTTCACAGCCTGCCGGGGAAGATGGACAAATTCAGCGGAGGCAGAACAGGCGCTGCCCATGAGCTGCACCTTCCCTCCCCTTCCCTCTGAGCAAGAACCAAGAAATGGTTCTGATAATGCAGGATCCTGGGGACCGGGAGGTGTCCGAAGTCACTTGCTGCCCTACCAGTCACACCGCGGTGACTACAGCAGGCCGGGCAGTAGGAGAGAGTCGGGGGCAGCGCCTGGCTTTGAACCCCATTTAACGACTGGCATCACAAAATTTCACTAGGGCCGAGGGCCGATTTGAAGAGTGAGGGAATGAGTTAGCCTATTTTCCAGAAACATATGGCTTTACTGTATTAAAAATGTATATCATTCCTCAAATTAGATTGAAAAGTAATCACCAGGGCCTCCCCTGGTGGCGCAGCAGTTGAGTGCTGGGCTGTGAGGCTGCCCGCAGCCTCTGCAGTGCTGGTTCGATCCCCGGCCACTGGCGAGGGTCCCACAAAAAAAAAAAAAAAAAAAAAAAGTAATCACCAAAACCGCATCTTTCAATGAACACCGGTGACAGTGCTGGTTATCATTCTGTGGGCTGCTTGCCGTCGCCTGGGCATTGTGCTCATCTGTCACACTCTCGAGCTCTATGACTTCAATCCTCACAACCACCCTGTGGGACTGTAGTGTTCTGCAGATGATTGAGGGGCAAGACTCAGAGAGGTTAAAGCGCTTGCCCAAAGTCACACAGCCGGGTGCACTGGAGACTCAGTTGGTGACCCTGCAGATGACATTACACTTGGGAGATTGTCCCAGGACTCTGCATGAGCTATTCAGTTGCAATGACAGGGCTGAGCTTGCTCTGTTCCTCGCTAGAGGGCAAGTAAAGGGAAGTGGGACAAACCCATCTTGCCCGGTTCTCAGCACGAAGACCCCTCTTCTGTGGGCTGAGTCTGTAGATAGGGGTGTTCTCCCATGGGTCCTGCCACTGCCCAGGGAGATTCCTGCTGTGGTCTCAGGATTAGCCAGCAGATCTGCCCTCTACCAGCCCCAGGTGATTTCGGAAGAGTTATTCCACGCAGCTCATTTCTCCGTCACTCACCTACATGAAGAGTTACTAGAGCTCGTGAGTCTCACAACCTCCCTTTCCATTTCCCAGATGTGGAGAGTAAAGACTGGCGAGAGGAAGGATCCTGGGCCAGGATGCGGAATGGTCAGAACTGAACCTGGACTCTGAAGTCCTTCCAACTCATGGGCTATGCAAGCAAATGTATTTCTTCACAATAATTTTTAAGAGCTTTTTCCTGACTAAAAACCTGTGTTTCCCTTTTCAACTTGATTTACTATTTTAATAATTATCATTTTCCCTTCCCTCAACAGCACTAATTTTATGTTCAAATCCGTTTTCCAAATTAGTACATCAAAAGAGAGATTTTTGTTTTTAATTAAGAGAGATCTTGACTGACGATTTGGAGCTGCTCCTATTGATGCCCAAAGCAGGGTGACACACAGCAGGACACCAGGGGAAACCAGCCCCAGAGTTCTCACTACTCCATTTTTGAACTTTGACTTGGTCACAGAGCAGAGAGGAGAGAACCCCCTGCAAAAGGCCCCCTCCCTTGCATCTCCAAGACAATGGGGTGGCTGAGGTTAGGGGAGCAGGGCTGTGGGCACAGGCAGAGACAACCTCCAAGGGGGTACTCTGAACAAAATTCTTAGGGTCAAACATCCACAGAACTAGCTCTAAGGATTTGGAGCTTGCAGTTTGCATGCTGCTATGTCTACTCCCTGAGGTCCTGCCGTAATTGGGATGTGGGTGAGCGGGTGGCTCCGGCCCACAGCCCAGGTGGAGCTCCCTGCAGCACCCCCTCACCCTTCCCCTCTCACCCAACCATAGCCATGCCAATATCTAGGCCGCCTCTCTCCTGGGGCCTTCCCCCAGGCACTTGGCCTTGATGCTTGACTCCCTTCTTGCCTCCTCCACAGACTCAGTTTTTGACCAAGGCGATCACAGAACCTAGTGTGCAGAAATGGCCTATATTCCAGAAATCAGTCCCAATTTCTCCACATGGTTGAAAATGTCTCAAAAGCATTCTAGAGTTATAGAAGCCAAGACATCATGGAGTCTGAGGACGGTGAATTCACTCACACCTTTCCCAGGTGAGGCCTCAGGATCCAGCTATTTCCTGCTTGCCCCTCTGGATGGAATGAATGTCCTCTTACTTTTGAAATCCACCCACTTTGGCTTCGGAGGACAAGGACAGAGAAGAGAGCAGGGGAAACATTATTGGTTTGGTCCTTCAGGTCACAGGGATCTGGGATCCTTATAGGGTTTCAGAATAAACTTCCTTTCTGGACTCTGCTCTTCCATGTGCCTGCCACCCCCATAACTTTATATTTAGGCATCTGGTATGAGTCTCATGGGGTGACCTGGAAGGTAAGCTTCTGCCATAGACACAACCCTAGGAGGGCCATGGTAGCTCCTGCAGTCTGCCCCAAGGGGGTGCCCCCATACAGGTGTTTTTCTCTCAAGAGTTCAATGCAGCCACACAAAACTCATCCAGGCTAGGACCTTGGGAATTGATTATGAATGCTCATGTATCAAACTATATTCCTTTTAGAGCTGGGTAATTTACTCATAAGTCATACTCCTGGCTTTAGAAATGGCCTGAAATATCACCACCCTCCCTTAGTAATGCTAAGTGCCCAGGTTGCAAATGTCAAAATCGGTATTTTTACTTGATTCCTTGAATATTTCCATATTCATTTTAAATTAGATCTCAAAAATACACCTTATGAAGCCCTACAAACACACATGCATGGAGTGGCACACACCGTGGACCAGCATCGGCACCCAATGTTAAAAGGCCATCGCCAAGGCCCAAGTCCTGCCTATACTCGTTGACATGTCAGGCAGCCACGTGCTTTGGAAGTGGCGGGCCTCTCTTTGACCCAGAGCACCCTAAATCAATAATAGTAATGTCATTGTTCTGCCTCTGATTTTTTTTTTTTCCTGCAGAAGGCATATGATGATTCAATTTGGACAAATAGGTCATGAAGAGTAATCTGTCAGGAATTTTTAAGAAAGATTTCTTCACTCATTAAAAGAGACACATGAGGAGAAACTTCTCTTCTCTGGATACAGTTTTCTGAAGTAGCTCCTTGGGACATGAGGCAGCCAGTGCAGGACAAGCAACAAGCTGTAGACAGCAGCCTTGAAAATAGGATGAGCTGGGTTCTAGAGGATGTTGTTGAAATGCTTGAATGAACCCACCATCGCCCTGCCCTATCTTCAGACGGCTTTGACCCAAGATAGTAAGTTTTCCTTGGTATTCAGTATCCCTGGGGTCTATTGCTTATAACTAAAAGTGTTTCTACTGGCTCCGTAGTCAGTTCTTAATCATGGATTAATCACAGGCTCTGACAGTGAACCTTGGGGAGAGGGAGACACTCTCTGTGGTACTGGGTTTGTTGCCATCTCCAGGCTTTATGTAACACACAGCCAGGCCAGCTGCTCAGGGCTCACCCACAGTTTGGAGCTACCTCCAGCTCTGCTACTGGTTTGCAGAGTTGAAATTCAAACCCTTAAGCGTGAAGAGGACCACACCCTGTTTAGTCAAAGAAGTGGAGAGGAAGGAATGGCAGCCTCGATGGCCTGATGGAGAAAGGGAACTTAAGAATAAGGGATGGGACTCAGAAACTCACAGGAGGACTCCTAACTTAGAAGAAATCAATATTCTGCTGGGGAGAAAAAGTGATGTTGCATCACTGTTCAAATGTTATCATAGTCAAATGTGCTAAGAACATCAGAGCAACAACCCCCGCTGACTGAGTGCTGCCCTCCGAGGCTCCATGCCACACACGATCTGATCTGACCTAATTATCCCAACCAGATGTGTTATTATTTCCGTTCTACAGTATGAAAACCCGGGGTCAGTGAGGAAAGTAAAATCCATAGTCTTCCAGCAGGGCAGAGACAGGACTAGGGGTCAGACGTGACTCGGACACGTCTCACTCCCAAATCTTTGCTCCTGCCAAAAAACTTTAACATCCTAATACAAATTGCATTGTGCTTTTTTCAAAATTTGTGTCATGCACACTATACTTTTCTTTATTTTTTTAATTAATCAAGACTTGATTGGATTAATATAAATCTATTATGGGGTGAGGGGGAAAAGAAGTGAAGAGAAAAATGGCAGTGGCTGGGGTATTACAATGCATCCTCCAGACAATTAACAGCACAGTTGTATGAAAAGGGCCACACCGAAGGAACAGAGTACTAACTAACAAAAAGGCAAAAGGACAGTCAGCTCTACTGGTCATCAGAAGGACGTGAGCTGAAATAATGCAACATCATTTGCTCCAGCATATTAGCAAACAGGAAAAAGATTGATAATATTTGGTGTTGGTAAGAGTAGGGGGAGATGTTTTCAACAAATTGCTGGTGGAAAAACAAATTGATACATCATTTAAATGAGCATTTTATTTTATAATATTTATCAATATTTTAATTGCATGTGTTCTTTGACCTTGGTGATTCCACTCTGGAAATATTTACACAACTTTTGAAAGATATACACCCACATAGATGGTCATTGCAGCACAATTTGCAATAGCAAAATAGTAGGAAAAACCCAAATGACATCAATAGGAAAATGGTTAAGCAGATGATGATATGTGCTTAATAATGGAATCAGACATACGTAGTCTTTGGCTAAGGAGGCAGATCTGTCTTACAGGCATAAAAGGAAGCCAAGTGATAAAAGCAAGAGTAGATATGGTACAATCCACTCTTTACCCGTCTGCACATAGGTGCATCTACAGAGGTGGGAGGGAAAGAACGTTCTTTTACAATCTGGATGGAGTCTGGGGGTTGCGTGGTCTGGAAGGAGGGAAAAAGGAAAGAGGCAGCGCTTATTTTAAGACTGCCTGCTTCTGTCTTTCCTTTCCTTTTCCATAATAAACCTGCCTTTTAGGATATTAAATAGAAAAAAAAAAAACATAACGGGAAGAATCAAACTATATAGCAAAGT